GAAGTTGACTAATAATCCTAATGAACATATGCACTTAGAAGATACCTTCTCAAATGAGTAGGAAATAATTGTTACTTCTTTTTTACCATTTGGTTTATTTGAATGAAAAGAAAGCCAAGAAGAAGCAAATATTATTTTATTTGTTTTTTTTTAAAGAAGTTGTACTAATATCACATGATATTAGGTCAGTCTTTTGTCCCTTAAAAACTTAAAAGAAGACATTATATAGCCTCCAAAATAGCAGGCATACCCTAACCCCACCATACACCCCAATCACTTCACAATTTCTTCCATCACCCACTACAATTTTTTGTAACCTAATGTCAACCTCTCCTCTCTCATTCTGTATATGTATGATTCTATCACAGACCAGCTACATTTTATGTCATGTACACTTCAAATACCTTTTCTTTTTATGACAATTCATTTCAAGGACAAGTTAAACAATAAATGCTTTCTTCATCTTACATATATCCAACTTGTTAACTAGCCAATATACATAATTCCCATTTCCCACAATAAAAGGGAAAATAAATTGCTAATAAAGTTTGGGTTTAGTAGTATTAAAACCAAAAAAAAATTGTATTTTGAGTCTCTGTAAGGTCCAGATCGAAGAGTCCTATCGGACGAGGGCGAGGGGAAGGGGTTTTACATCCCACTCCCCACTCCCCACTCCTCACTCCTCACGCCAATGCGAACATTTTCCCTCATCATCTCCGTCCGAAGAAATCCCTGTCAGATTGCTTCCCATAAGAATCTGCATTATGAAGGCCAAAAGAATCCTTTATATCTCGTATTATATCTGCCATAATCAATATAGTCAATGCAGAAAAAGAACATTTTCAAACACTAATGATCTCATCAAGAAGGTAACATTTCAAAATATTAAAATGGCTAGCTCTTTCTTTTCACAAGGGCCAGGTAGAATAAATTCTATCTCAAAGGTAGACACAATGAAAGCTTAGGATGCCCACACGTGAACCCATACTTCTTTTTCTTGCCTTTAGCAGTGCATAACATACATAAACTTTTTTGCATTTTTCCCTAAATTCCTAATACCATCCCATAAAAAGAATGAGGAAACAGTCAAGCAACGGTCACCTGCACCCTCTCTGTCTCTCTTTTATTGGCTATAATGTTATCATAACCATCCAACAGATAAAGATAAGATGCAGCACGTACATGAGATCATGTATAACCATAGAGTGCCAACACGGTGAGAAAGAAGCCAGTTTTGGAGTACATGGGTCCTCCTAACACTTTTTGTGATGAATAATTTTGATCCCTTGAAAGGACCTAAAAGAACTTATTGCACTGTTTGAGTCTAAAAACTTTGGTGTCCTTACTCATTTTGTCACTTCACATCTTTTCTGCTGTGAGGCACTTAGGTTTAATCAGACACTAAAGTAGAATATTAAACAGTAATCTAAGCTTTTTCTTTCCATCTTAAGCATAGTTTAGGGTGTTTCTCTACAGCAGAATATTAGGATTGGCCTATCAAAATGAAGATCACAGTTCAAATCTGTCTAGTTAGAATCCTTCTAGTTAATGATATGATTTAACATATTTTAGAAGCATTAGAAAAAGAAAGAAAGTGGAAGCAACGATGCAAGGACAAAATGGTAACAATCCAAAAATAAAGTGAGCACTGAGTAAAGCAAGGGGGAAAAGAGAGTATAAAACAAAGATTCGACACTAAAAGCCCCTTAAAATTGGAAGTTAAATCACTACTTTAGCAAGCGGAATAGGCCTCTACTCTCTTGCATAGATCATACGGCAATAAGAGGGTCCTCATACGTTAAAGACAGAATGAAAATCTACCTGTAATACTAAATCTATGGGCTATTTTCTGTAATCAATAAATCCAAGTTAAGAAGAATTCATTAGTCTCGAAAATGATAAACAAGTCATAGAAAGCTGTCTTAGAATTATTAAGTTGATCTATATGGTTTAATATATTGGTAAGAAGAAACTCACTAGGAACAAAACTAAATAAATAAACTAATTATTCCTTATGACTCCTTTTCACAGTACTTTCGGCTTCCTGTCTTCCAAGAAAAGTTGGATGGCATTGATACTAGCTTAAGTCAAAAAAAGCAACTGTGAGAAGGCGCTTGTGATGCCCCAAGCAAAGCCACAGACACTTGGAGCAACTTTAGAAGGAACATTCGGCACAAGATGCTCTTTCTTTTTATGCTAAGTTCTTTTAACCAAGATCCATAGGCTCCATGGATCATTCTCAGACCCATTTCACGTGATACAAAAAGATAAAAGTTCTGTTAAGGAGTTGTTTTTTATTTTCCTGTCTCCAAATATGGCAAGGTGATCATTTCACAATTATGCATCTTTCGGTCCTAGCCTAGGCATAGCAAAACTGGGTATTTGATCACGAAAACAGAGTTAGTTGAGAAACACTATGGACAATATTTAAAAATACAAAACAGGTGCACCACAAAGCATGTATGTAAATGCAAAATTTATGTATGTGCATATTGATGTGCGCATACACAAGTGGTCAAACCCACTGCATATACAGCTTTCAGCTTTCACCATGGCAATCTGCTTAAACTCTATTGCATTTGAGTGGTCAATGCCAAGTGTTTCAAAAGCAACGTAGGAAGCTGAATTGCTCTCTTCATCATATAAATGAATGAAGCAGAAATTGTCCCCGGTCTCCCACTTCAAAGGCAAGTCAATACAATCACGAATAATGCTACCCGTGGAACAAATTATATTCATATCTTCAGATGGTGAAAGAAAAAGTACCACAGCTACACTTGTCTTTCAGAAAAGCGAGGACGTGAGTTCAGATACAACTTGTGCATAATCTGCCTTCAATTTTTCTTGGTCCCCATTGTCCAGTTCCCCCTTTCTAGCTTGGACAACACTAGAACACAGCATATAGGCCTCTTGGTAGCTCCAGCAGTGGCAAGATTCCTGGGGGGAAAAAATTGGGTAATTCTGAATCAGCAAATTTAAAATAAATTCATGCCAATTCCCCAATCTCACTAAGCATCTTTAACAGTTACAAGAAGATTAATTAATGGCAAACAAGAATGTCAAGGAGTGCTGAAGCAGATAATCTTTAAACTATATGTTGGAATCAAGAAACTAGCAAAGGCCACCATCAAATTTCTCTAATATGCCTGATTAAAAATATGACCAAGGTTATTATTGATTCCTCAAGCAATGAGCAGAAAGGCGACTGAGATAGTCTTATGCACATCTATATGATGGTAAGCGAGTCTCTAAAGAAAAATAAGACAGCAGAAAAACAGTCCTACCTGATATGAAAAAAAAAAAAAAAAAACAAGAAAAAAAAAAAAAAAAAAAAAAAAAAAAAATCAAGTGGACGACAACCTATTAAAAAGACCATGGTTCCAATGGCATGACAAGTTGCATCAGTTGTAGAATGTAATGCAACGGAATTCCATTCTACCATCTAAACAAAATGATTCTACAAGTATAAATTTCTCTGTGGAACTTCATACAGCATAATTAAACCATACCCAAATATACAATTCATCTTAAACCAATAAACAAGCGAACTATGAAAATAATAAGAATATGAATTCAATATGCTAAAAACTGGTGCATGCTGCACACAAGACCAAATATTGGGAAGAACATCACAAATTTCTTTAATAATGAAATGGATTAAATAGAGGCAGATAATATTACAAGAGGAAACCCAGAACCAGAAATTACATTTCAAATTAGCCCAAGCGGGAAAAAGACCTAGAGCGGAGAATCCGAAGTTAAAACTTCAAACTTACCTCTTTTAATGGAATATATATATAATATATATATAATATTATAATATATATATATATATTATATATATATATATTTATTTATGAATGTCAGCCCTCTTCAATATGAATTGGAATGACGAGCGATGACATCTACGGGCATATTTATTTATGAATGTCAGCCTCTTCACATATGATTGGAATACGAGCGATGACATCTACGGGCGAAAGGTTTCCTGCTATTATGCATAACCTGTATTGAAATGGCAGTCCGAATACTTCAGAACCAACTATCTATAAAGCTACAGAGTACAGACTTCACAAGCATTTGAAAAGATGTCATAAATGCAATAGTTAATCAATTCCAGTTACAATATGTCGATTTTCTCGAAATGCAGGAAATTTGAAGAATACAACTTAGTAAAGACTGGTGTTGTGTGTACATGTATATATACATTGCAAACCAGCTTGATAGTAGCTTGCAGAACTTTTTACCCGCTAAAGGTCTAGCAAAGGGAGACAAAGCCATATTCTCTTCGTCTCTTTCATGTTTGATTTATCTGCTTCACTATCACTTTCCATCTCATGTTCTGTGTTTCGAGCTGTGGCTGTGCTGCTGGGGTTTTAGTTTGTTCCTCAGGGTTTTGGAGCCAGTTTTTCATTTAAGACATCCGGACCGTCCATTGCATTGACATTTTTAAGAAAAACGTCAAAAGAGATCTTGACCGTCAATTAAAAATGCAAAAATATTTGTGGCTGCTGGGATTCGAGCCCAGGTCTCTACGGCCACAACGTAGAATTCTTACCACTAAACTACAGCCACAAGATGGTATGTTAAATCTAATCCGTAATACAGTTCGATATTTGATTTGTTTTTTAACGTAACAAGTTCGGTTCCGCTTTCAATATAAAAAAATCATCAAACTTTTTTTCTGTTCAATTTGGTTTTCATTAAGCCTGTCAAATCGATTCGGTTTAACTTTCAGCTACAAATTTTGAGTCGTTCGACTTGTACTACCGGTTGGATTCAACTGGGGAGTTGAAGCCAAAAGCCATCAAATGATCAACAGAAGGAATTGGGTTAGTAATAGGCCTGGCCTGGAATCTGGAGCGTTCTATAATTGAACATACGTGGAGCTGTAGCCTAATGCGTGTAAATTGAAAAGAACTTGGCAAGTACAGTACAGCAGGATTCAAAAAAAGAATGCAGCACACCAACATCATGAATTTAGTACGGATCCAATGAAATATTACAAGTCCGAACATATACGCAAACTTCTTTACTTAAAGATAAAACTGGTCTCACATGTGAGAGATCAGAGGAGCCATAACTGGCAATACAAACAGGCAACCAAACATTAAAAAAGATAAAACACAACCAAAAACTAAAGATGAACACATTCCGGACTGCGATAACAGACACGGACCATAAAGAAAAGCACAAATCCTACTACATTACTGTCATCAGGCTATGCCTGAGACCAAAAGTTTTGATTTATTAATAGACATGGACCATAGAAATTAAACACGGTATTAATATCCTTCTTCATCTTCTTCCTCTTTCCAGCAGCATTTCAGAGTTGACCTAGGAGAGCCAGAGTCCCCAGTCCTAATGAACTTCTGGTAGACAAGTGAACCACCCTTCCCAAACTCTTCAAAGCTACTCTCTCCACGACAGTATCCCTTGACATCAAGTGAACAAGTCCGCATTAGTTGTTTACCAGCAACATCAGCATGCACAGCAATGGAGAATTGGCTTGGCTGGAAACAAGACAACACCCTGTCAACCAACTGGTTCAGATTCACTTCTTCTGGATGATATCCTACTGTTTCAAAGCTAGCATAGCTGAAACCATCTTCTGGAGTAATATGAATGGTAGATATAGCAGAACCTTCAATTGAATTCATTGAGTAACCACATGGATCAAAATCAAAATCGCATATTTTCGAGTCTGGAAGAATCTTTCTTATGCCAGAATCAACAGTCATGACAGCTGCAGAAGCTGATCGAGTCTTGAAGAAAACAGCAGCCTTCTGCCGGTCCAAACCAGTCATGCACATCTCTACAGTGTAAACAAGGTCGCGGGAGATAGCAGAATCTGCATATGCAGAGTAAACATGCCATTTCTGTGGGCTGTCACTGTCAGACCCACCCATTACATAAGCCATACTGCCCCCACCAAGTTTGCCGAAATAATCATCTAGGACAGCAACTTCTTCAGTGAAGCTGCGATGAGGATAAGACTGAGCTCCAGGGAAAATGAAGCTCCCACGAGTGTACCTCACGGATTTCACTTTAAGGGACAGAGCATTAGACAGCTTCAAAATTGGTGGGATTGCAAGAAGCAGCTTTGTAGTCCCACAGGTTTTGATTATAAGCTTGTAAGGATATATAAAGAGGCTAGACTCAGAAAGGACATAAGAGTCAACATGGTCATTTTTCAATGAATCAACAATAGTACATTCAGCAGGTCCAAGAAACTCATCCAACTGAGCCTTGGAGAGAGCTCGAAGTCCCTTTCCTTCAGGATCAACGAAAATGCCAGGCTCAAAAAATGTTATTTCTAGCCTCTTCTCATAACCTTCAAAACCAATTGCAGAGACCGCCATGGCGATATTGACCAATCAAAGCAGCAAAGCGTTTCACTTTCAGGGATGCAAATGCAGTAACACTCACAAGGAGAATGTGTTTCAAAGATCACAGTTGAAAATGTCACAGTAGTCAGGAAATAGCAGTCGCAGAGAGAGACAGAAAGAGGAAGATATCTGTTGAAGGAGAATTTAAAACTAACTAAACTAATAATATTGACCACTTTATGTGGTCTGGTAGTCTACTAGAAGAATATCAGGATGGTTTGCGAGCGCACTGCAACAAAGAACAAGTAGTCATCATTATCTGATCAAGTTATTCGACAACAAAAACCAACAACAATACCATTTGGAAACTTATGAGTACTTACGTTGGAGTAAGCAGCAGAGCGGAACTTCTTGATGCCACCGTTAGGTCGAATGTCTTCAATGCTGTAACCAAGGGGAGCTTCGTAGAACAAGGATTTACTACTACTACTACTACTACTAGACTTCTTCTTCCCACCTTTTGACTCCATTAGATCATTCAGTCCTTCCTGCTCAACCCACCAAACAAAATAAAGAAAATCAACATGAAACGATATCATCAAAATTCAGGGAATCAAAATGCCAAACAAATTATTTTCAGAACTCTAATGAAAACAGCCTAACCAGAAGCTCAAACAGATATCTAAGACGCAAATATTGAGGCCAAAAAAAATCAACCTTTTGCAGAAAGATTCAAAAGCACCACGATTAAAAAAGACGATACATAACAGATCCAACCAGAAGCTAACAAAAAAAAAATAGTAATAATGTCCAGGAAAAAAATGGAATTTTTTCAATAAAATCAAATCCAAATACAAATCGAATAAAAAAAACAAATCAAGCACAACTCCTAGCCAAACAAGATCTCAGGATTCGTTCCTTTCATCAAGATAATGAAATTTTAATATTTATATGAAATAAAAATACACAAATCCATAAGAAAACAAAATAAAGCAACACCAACAAAAACAAGAACAAATTTCTATATTCACAATGACACTTACAAACACAAAAACGTGAAATCCCTTATCCCAGAAACAATAACAAGGCCGTTGATTTGACTGCAAACAATCCAGGAAATAACAAGAATTATACAAAAAAAAACCATCAAGGAAGAACAAATTCAGAGAAATTGTATACATATATATTTAAAAATAAAATAAAAATCACACGCACGTATGTATACACAGAGGCATAGATTTGAATATTAAAAACAACACAAAAAAAGCACTCACCAGATAAGAAAAAGGGAATGCAAGATGTGATTAGGGGAATTATGAGAGAGAGAAAACTCAAAACCCTAAAAACTTTGATTGAGAGAATGATGAGATCCCCTTCTTTTCCTTTTCTTTATTTTCTTTTTGTGGCTTCACGAAATTGTTGTGATAGGCGACGGCTCTACATGCAATTTATATACAGAGGTCTGGAAATTATTTCGCCACTTTTATACGGAAAACTACGATTTTACCCCTCACTCGTTTCCAAGAAGTTTTCTTTGTTTTACTAAAACGCCCTCGCTGCCAGTCCAGGAGCAACGCATGTTTGTTTCGATTTGTGACCGTTAATTTATGGGGCTGACAGCTAAGTTGCACAATATTCTCTGGCGTAAATTAATTTTAATTAGAAATTAATTTTTTTTAAAAAGAAATTAGCAATTACTACATCTACTCCATAATACTTATCATGTTTGGAATTTCACATTTCTTAGAAAAACTATTAAATTTGTTTAAGTTACAATAAATTATTGAGTAAATTAATTATATTATCCCTAATTTAATATCAATTTTCTAAGAAAATTATTGAATTGAAGTAATAATTATTAGTGATAACAAAAGGTAAATATGGAAAAAAAACATTTATTACTCATTTAAACTACAAATGTGACAAGTATTTTGGAACAAACTATTTTCTTAAATGTGTTAAGTATTTTAGTATAAATTATTTTCTCAAATATGATAAGTATTATGGAACGTGGATAATAATTAATATGTCATACAAGTCCTATTTAATTTTAATTAGAAACTAACATGTTTGATTTGGCAATTAATTAAAATGTTTGATTTTAATTATTCCTATTTAACTTTGAATATGCAATTAATTAATTTTTAATTTCTTTTGTTTATTATATCAAGGCTTTTGTTTATTACATTAAACTTTGAATAAGGAATTTTTTTGAGTTTGCAACCATGTGTTTCTCTTAAGGTGTGTTTGGTTGGATGTAATACAATGTAATGTAATCAAAGATGGAATGCAATAAAAATGTAATAAAATGAAATGTAATTAAAATTACATTACTAGGTTTGATAATATAATTGATAAAATTTATGAAATGCAACCACCATTCCAGTTTTATGTTTGTTTGTAAATATGTAATATAATGTAAATAAAATACTACTACCATTAATCACACCACCGCCACCACCACTCCTTCCCTACCACCAATCATACCACCATCACCACTCTACCACCATCACTGCTACCACCACCACTATCATAACCACCAATAAAAATTTTAATTTTATTGGTCAAAAATAATTATATATTAATTTTATATATAAATCTAAATTATATTGATTAAAATTAGATATTATATTATATATTTAATACAATAAGTATATAATATCTTTAAAGATTTTAATTTCCAAAAATAATTATATATTAAATTTTATATATAAATTCTAAATTATAATTGATTAAAATTAGATATTATATTATTATTTAATACAAATAAGTAATAATATCTTTAAAAGATTTTTAAATTTTATAAGTTCAAAATATGGTAATTTTAGTTTTGATTGGTTATATTAATTTTTCTATTTAATTTAAATTTAAAATTCTTTGATTAATTATATTAATTTTCTATTTAATAAATTTAAATTCTATTTGATAAAATAAAAAATTATATAATAAATAACATATTATATATAAAGCATTATGCAAAAGAATATAAATAGCATCATGGTAAAAAATATACTTTGATATTAATTACAGTGTATTTTTTTTATTATTATTTTACACAAGCTCAGAGTTATGAAACAAAGATTAAGGCAAGCCTTGGATAAGCAAAACACAAATCGAAAGCAAATAGCATAGATACAACTTGGATATCTCAAACTGGGGGAAAAAGGATTAGAGACACAAATACAACTGCATAAGAAAGATTCACATGAATTACAATTTTTTTTATTATGTTGTCATTTTTCCTTTTTTCTTTTTTGTAAGTTAATAAATACTAATTTGTAGGAGAATGTAACAACAAATTGTGATAATTAAAAATAAAAAAATATAATAATAAATTGTGACAATTGAAATTAGATTTTAAAATTTAATAATAAATTATGATAACTAAAATTAGGTTTAAAAAAGTAATAATTATATAATATAAAAATTAATTTACGAGTATAAATAACGAGTACAAATACATGCAACGCACGTTAAAAAAAAAATTATATATTAAAAGTAACCATTATTGAAATTTTATCCAACAATTAACCTTTATTTTTATAGGTACTATTGAAAATTATTATTAATTATCAGCTATTACAAACAACTAAATTAAACAAGTCAAACAATAATATATGGTGGCAGCTTAAAGTAAAATAATTTTGAATTTTCTTGTTTTTTATGTGATATAACATCATGCTTAACGAATTGAAGTGTTCCATGAGTACCTATAAAAATAAAGATTTTGTTTTGAAATGTAATTCAATAATAATAACATCACTAATTACAAATACGCATATAGAACTTTATTATTAGTAACTAATAGAGCTCGCTGATCTTTTGACGAAATAAATGAATTCATATCCTTTTAAACAATGAAACTAAAACTAAAATATGTAATATTAGAACTTGGAGTTGATCTGACAAAAGATACAAATCTTCGTAGCAACAACTAGTCCGTTACTTGATTTGGACGTCAAAATAATAATTTTTCTGAATATTCTATAACTGGATTGCTTTTTCAATAATTTGCAACATATGACGAATACATGTGTGTTTTCGCTGCTATGCATCAATAGCATCAATGGAGGAATAAATCGCACTATCAGGACCCACCGATCAAAGATCCACACATGCAAACCAAGATCTAGAGTCTCCAGCCAAATAAAATCAAATATTATAATTTTATTTAGTAATACATCTCACAAAGAATAGACAAAAAAAAAAAAACTTTAAATATGGGGACAAAAATAACAAAACAAAAAAGACAGATCCGTTATAGGAAAAACAGATGTGAGTTTAAGTTTATTAAGGCAAAAGAAGATTAATAAAAAAAATTTATTTGATTGGTTATATTGGTTTTTTATTTAAATCTAAATTATATTGGATAAGTAATATGCAATAAAATTTAAAAAATGACAAACATTAATTTAATTAGAAATTTTAAGAGAAAATTAAAGAATTAATGAGGAAAATATTTAATTTGTATTCAAAATCTATGAATAAGTTGCTAAACTTGGCAATGAAATCTTAAAGAAATCCCAATTTAATTATGTATATCAATACTGTTACCTTCCGTTTGTGTTAATACTAAATCTGCATTCATATTAATATTAATATAATTAATTCAGTTTTACTACTGCGGAATACATGTGATATATCAGTAGTTACAGTCAAAGCCACGTCAATAGTCATCCGGTCCGGACCTCCCGCGCTAGTTGTACTGTTGTCACTTAGCACAACCAAATCTGCAATTATAGCATCAAACGTTACTTTCATTTCACAGATTTGATTTTTCATACAAATTATTAAATCACGTTTATTTTATAAAAAAAATAATTAATTAAATTACTATTTAATTAATACTCATTTAGTTGAAAACAAAATTTAGAAAATATTTTTAATTTTAGTTTGTATGCATAAAGAGAGAGAATATGCTTTTGGGATAATTCTATAGTCTCTTATATTATAGTCTTTTATAAATCAATTTGGTTTTTCTTAAAAAAAAATGAAAACAACTAACATATAATAAAAACTGTATGAATTAATACATTAATATATAAAAAAAATATATTTATTGTATCTATAAAGTGAATGTATTTTAACATTTAAATAAAAATTTATATTTTAATATTATATCTATAAAGTGGAATGTATTTTAACATTATTTATATTTTAATATTATATAAATAAAAAGTTAAACGAGTATAAAGAATGAGCATATAACGAGTATAGTCAAAATGCAACGCATGTCATAAAATGACTATGTAGTATAAATAGCCAAAATTAAATTACATTTATTTTCTCAACCAATAAAAGTAAAATCCTTGAAGATATTGTATTTTTACTATATTTATATATAGCTTATTTGGTACTCATCAAATACTATTACCATATAATATATATATATATTACCATATAATATGTATATGTTACCATATAATATGTTTATGTCATATTACCATATATTACCCATATTATATATTATATATATATATAGTATATTATATGATTTCGATTTCAGTCCGTCAGTCTATATTATATGATTTCGATTTCAGTCCGTCAGTCTCATTTATAAAAAAAATAAAACCGAATAGTATTATCATATTTTATATATGTTTTATATATAGATCATAGATGATGACTAATTGAAAGGTGGGTGGAAATTTTAAAAGATCGCTATTTTTTATTTTTTGGAAAGAAAATAAAAAGATATCTATTATTGAAGTAAAATTGATTTTGTGTCGGAAAAAGCCATTCTCTAGATTTGTGTGGGCAAAACTTTGTTGTATCGTTGGTAAGATACAAAATGTGGATTGGCTAATTAGGGACACGTGTCCTCTTGTTGCCATATATGTGATTTTGGAAGCTTCATGTCATTTTATGGCAGGTCACTACTTTTGACATTTCATTTTGGGTTTCTTTATTTTCCTTTTTCTTTTTCCTTTTCAAAAATTTCTTTTTTTGGAATTCCTAATTGATGTACTTTGATATGTGCTTTCCAATGCTTTGGTCTTTTAGTGGCAACTTGCAAATCATATATAATTTTATTGTACTTTTCCATTTCAAGCCCAAAAAGAAAAAAGAAAATTGGATAAATTTATTTATTTTCCTTTGGCTAAAGTATCAAATTGGTCATGAAACTTTTTTATTGGTCTAATTAGATATTTAAAAATTGATTTGATCTTCAAACTTTAATTGGTCTAAATGAGTTTGCATATCCACTGTACATCATTTTTTTAATTTAAAAAGTCAATTATTTTGAAAAATTATTAATAGAGAAAACTATTAGATTAAAAAGCAAATGCACCCAAATTGAAAACTCTAAAAGCTCTAAAGAGAAATTGAAATCTATCTACTTCGTTTATTCGTGCTATTTTAATACATATTCACATTTTATTTGTGTATATTTACTTTAAAATTTGAATTGTATAGTAAATTTAGATTCAA